CCCCAGGAGGGATACAGAGGAGTTGCGCTGGCCCTTCCAGCTGAAGTTGCCCTATGGCTGGGGAGACGTGCAGCCAGTCTCGGGCACGTTTACTCGGAAGGCAGCTTATTCCCAGGCGCAGAGGGAGGGGAGCGCAGCCCTGCTCGCGTTTCGGGTATTAGCTGGGGTTGGGAGTGGCGGGCGCCAGGCCGAGTGCGGCGCTTCCGGTGCGGGACGGTGGAATTTTCCACCCTGCGCTGCCTGCGGAGGCTGGCAGGGAAGGCATTCCTCGGCGAGCCCCCTGCCCCGCCCCAGTTGGCAGCCTTGCCCGACGCCCAGCGCTCGGGGGGCGTGGCGCGGTGCAGCTCGGCTGGCCCTGCAGGCTCAGCTCCGGCCTTTCTGGGAAGAGGCGCTTTTCAAAGAGGCCCTCGATTAGGCAGTGCCGGCTCGAGAGCGTAACTCTTCCAGCCTCAAACGTTTATCGTGCACCCTCCCGCTCGAGCTGGAGCTGGAGCAGAATTGGCTCCCGAAGCATCAGCTCCCTCCCCACCTTTAAAAACAAATTCGGAACTGGGGTAAAACCCAGTTTCTGACTTGCACCCTGCGCAGCCCACAGCTACTCTCTCCCCGCCCACCTCCAGCGGATTGAACGTTTTTTTTTTTCTTCCAGCAACTTGAGACTTTATACTTACAGTGGCTGCAGTATAATTGCAACTTAGGGAGCACTCTGTCCCAAACTCCCTGGAAAGGGGATTATGCTGTACTGTGCAGCCAGCTGAGAAATCTCTGGGGATGATTTAACTTGGTCCACTATACAGTATCATTCACTCCACTCCCATTTATTATCTTTTCTCCTCCTCTTCTTCAAGCAAAGCTTTCTCAATAGTTGCAGCACATCCATCAAAAGCAACAGGTGCTTGTATTGTATTTCTATTTTCCCTTGATATGCCTAGGAACTTCCATTTTTTCCCATTCTGACAAATATATTTCAACCAGGAAATGGAAATAGTACTTGGTCTTTGCACAAAAAATGTGTTGAGCTATGCATTTAGAAAGCAGCTCAAGGAGGATTTTCTGAACGGTGACACATTTAAATTTTTCCCTTCCTGCTAAATATTAGCGTGAGCTGCTCATTATATTCTTCCATGCTAGTTTCTTCTCTCAAATGCAAACAACATTCAAGTGAGAAAGTTGTGTACTTGAAACAAGTCTCTCTAAACCATAGAATTGTGCTGTTGGAAAGGGTCACAAGGGCCATCTCTCTGCAGTGTGCAGGAGAACCAATTAAATCATCCTGGAGAGATGCCTGTCCAGCCTCTTCTTAAAACCCTCCATTTTTACAATCTCTGTGAGTAGAGCTTACGGTTCGGAAGCTTTTTGTTATATTTAAACAAAATCTGAGTGGCCACTGCTTATTTCTTCTCTTAGGTTCTGTGGCAGTAGAAAATAATTCCTGACTATCTTCCAGATGGCACCCTTTAATGTCCCTGAAAACTGATAGCATGTCTCCCCTTGGTCTTCTTTTCTCCAAACTAAAATTTTGCGTTCCTTCGACCTGTCCTTATGGGGCATGTCCTCTAGTCCCACTGCAATCTTTGTTGCTGTCCTCTGAACCCTCTCCAACCTGTCAGTCTCCTTCAGAAAATGTGATGCCCAGAATCACGCACCGTTCTCCACGTGTGGTGTCATTACTGCAGAGTGAGGGAATAAGAACTTCAAACATCTTTGATAGGGTTTCTTGTAGTGCATCCCAGGACTACTCACACTGCTGACTCATGTTCAGTTTGCGGTCAGTCACCATATCCAAGCCTTCTCTGACACAGGGCTTCCAAGCCATGAATGTATGTGTATGTGTGCTCTACATTTTTCTTTTCTAAATGCAATACCCTACATTTTTCCTGGTCAAAGGACATCTTTTTCCTCTCAGTCTAGTCTTCTGACCTTTCCAGATTAGATTAGGTGTTGGCCAGACCTCCCAATGTTGTATCAGCCACAAGTTGGATCAGCAGCCCATGAATCCCATTACTCAAGTTACTGATAAAAAGGTTGAATAGTAATGGATTGATCCTCTCCAACCCAATGTAGAGCTATTAGCACTGAGTATGATTAGCCAGTCAGTTATTGACCCACCTTACTTTAGTGCCATTCAAATCACACTTGAATAGCTAGTCATGTGGAACTTAGTCAGAAGCTTTGCTGAAATCAAAGTAAATTATATCCACAGCATTCTCTGTTTCCATTACTTATTTTTACCCCCCCCTCTTTATTAGAACTAAATCTAAGGTAGCAGATTAGCCCTCTTTGGGCCCACCTCAATCTTTTAAAAGTAAACATTATCACCAGCACAAGTCAAGAATTTACCTGACATCTTGTGTTTGGCAGAATGTCTTCTGACAGATGAGATGTGAAATCTCCCATCACAACCACTTCATGGTTTTTGGAGGCTTCAGTTATCTGCTTTAATAAATCTTTATCTGCTCTTCTGACTGGTTTGGAGGTCTGTAGCAGCTGGCTAGCAAGATATCGCTTCTGTAACTTTGCCCTTTTCTCCTATTCTGTCTGGTGGTCTTCGGCACAGAGAAGTTCATTCCTTATATAGAGGGCTGAATTACCTCCTCTGCATTGCCTGTTCCTCTGAAATAAGGTGTACCCATCGAGCTCATGGTTTCTCATCCTACCATGCTTCTGTAATCCCTATTTCATCATACTCACCTTTGTGCATGAGGACATCCTGCTCATCTTGCGTGTTACCTGTATTTTGTGAAAGGAGAACCCAAACTTCCAATTTATAAATAGTTTGAATATCCTTAAATATATATTAGAGATCTAGATGTATCCCTGTACAGATAGAGAGTGGCATATTGTATTTCTGAGGAAACTATTTATAGCTTTATATCTTATATGAGGAAGAGTGCCCTGGAGTCCTCATAACTCTAATATGATCTGGAATGCTTTGGAGTGAATTGAGAGTCAGTTCTGCAACAAATCACCTGAGGGGAAGGTGACAGAGGGATCTTCAATCCTGATCTTAAGGATTATGTACATGTGTGTGGCCTCTTACTACTGAGCAGGGAATCTATTCTGGCAGTCACAGCTGGTTGACTTAATGGAAGGAAGTATTTTCTAGGTCCTTTACAAGAACAGGACACCAGGGGGCACAACATACCCTTTTTAAAGCAACAAACTGGCCATCCCTGTTTCTAACCAGCCTTCCAGACTATAAGCCCTCCAGATGTGTCAGAGCAACTCCCATTGCTTTTCATTCAGCATGTTATTGTGGATGGGAGCTGTAGTCCTAATCATCTGAAGGATTCCAGGTTGGAGAAAGTTGGCTGAACACATTTTAGCATAGCTTGTTGCATGAACCCAGCCATCTGCAGTTCAATTTATTGTGTATACACACACATTGGGTTACTTTGGGGAACTGTAGTTTATTATGAGGTAAGCACAATGTGTGAGCCTACTCCTTGTTCTTGACTGACATCCTTCATTTCACCTCTACTTTGTGATAGAAATGGGGATGATGGTGAGTGTGTTTGCGTGTTTGTAAAATGTGAGAATATGTAAAGACTGCTTACTGTGTAGTAAATGGAAAATACTTTTCTTGCCAGGCGCTGTATTTCTTTTAGACGGATTTGCACTGGGTGGAATGATTGTACAGAAAAATCCACATATACATTGATTCATTTTCATAAGGAAAAAAGTCTCAAACATACGGTTTGAAAGTTTTGCAAAAGGACCTTTGATTTTCATGAGATTAAGTAACTGAGGAAGCCTCAGCGAAGTGAAAGAGCAAGTAGGTGGAAACAGGGAGGATGTACTGCAGAGAGGCAGTCATCTAGGGCCAGAAGGCCAGATGTGGCCCGAGCAGCAAACTTGGGAACAGCCAAGCTCTGGAAAGCTACATGGCCAGAGCAACTGAAGAAGAAAATGCTGCAGGGCTGAGGAGGGGCATGTGAGTGGGAATAGAAGGCATGTCCTGGGATAAGCCATGGGACAAATGGGGAAACAGAGAGAGCCAGTTTGGCCTAGTGGTGAAGGCCCCAGGCTAGAAAGCAGACCGTGAGTTCTAGTCCTGCCTTATGCATGAAAACCAGCTGGGTGACTTTGGGCCAGTCCCTCTCTCTCAGTCCAACTCACCTCACAGGGTCGTGGTTGTGAGGAAAATAGGAGGAAAGAGTATTAGGTATGTTCACCACCTTGACTTATTTAGAAGAATAATACAAGTGAGATAAAAAAATCTAAAAAAAAAAAAGCCCCGTAGACAGATCCAAACAAGTGGCCAGCAGTTCCTTTAACTGGATTGAGCCTCATGACAAAGTGTTTCTAAAATTAATTTATTTGTGCCTTTACGTAATAGGATGGGTACTTTGTGTACAAGCTTTGGGTAATAGGCCATGTCCCCAGTAGCCCCATCCATAGCATAAGTACAGTATGCCATAATAAAAATGCTTTTCTGCCATGTCCCCATGATGTCTTCACCTCTTCCTCAGCTCATGATTCAGTCTTAAATGATCCTGAGCTATGGCAAGTTTATGGTATTTCCCCTTTGCTGGACATCTTCCCAGGTGAAGCTTCAGATATATAAACCTGTTATGCTTTGCTAGTCTTACCTTGGAGGGAAGTCAGGTGAGTTGAAATAGAGGCCAGATAGGAGTTGACAGTGGGAATTGCAAATGCCACACTGGTAGTATCCTGCCAACTCAAGAATGGGTGGATAGCACTAATGAAAAGATGAGTGGTGAAGTTTGTAACAAAACAAGTTTTTAAACCGAAGTAACTTTTTTCATTAAAAAATTTTTTATTGCAAAACTCATTATTTGGTAGCACTTCCAGAATCCACTAATTACAGTACAGAACAAATCAGCATCCTGCTTCAACCATGTTTAATTCTGGTTTTGAATATCTTGTTCAGATGCACATGCTCCAGTCACACTAATATGGTATGTACATACATAGTAACTTTAGATGCAGTCAGTTGCATACATTGCATTATTTAGTATTGGAAATCCTTGTAACAATGTTACAGTAGAACTTCGTTGACTTGCAGAGACAACTAATTTTTAAAGCTACATGTGTCAAGAAATACACAATATGCTTTTTCTCATACAGGTAATCCTTGTTTAGTGATTGCGATTGGTTCCGGTGAAATGGTCACTAAGCGACACAGTTGCTAAGTGAACCACAGAACGGGGGGGAAAGAGAGAGAGAGAGAGACTCTATGAAGATTGCTGGTTGTTGCCCTCTCATTCAGATGAAGTTCTCTCATTCAGTGTCCTGTACCTGACCTGTTTTTTTTTTCTTTTCTTTTCTTTTCTTTTTGCCCCCCCCTGCAGGGCAGGGAGATTGCTTAAACAAGCTATCTCTTCCTGAGCTGCTTTCTCTGCCCTTCCCTAAAAAGTGCTAACTGTAAGTTAACAAGCTTAGCTCTGTGACCTTAATTAGTGGATTAGAACCTTCCCTGGCACCTTGCTGCCTGAAACTGACCAGACCACAATCAGTTTCACACTGAAGATTTTTGTTGTGGTAAATGTTCCCATTGGTCAGAAAATGAATTTTTTATTGCCATTTATTACCATTGTATTTGCAAACAGTCACTATCCAAGGCAGTTGCTAAACAAGGACTACCTGTATTATGGTGGTTTTATGTTAGAATTCAAACTACGATAGTTCAGGTAGGTTAAATCACAGTATGAACATTTGCCAGTGACTGTGGGCCTTTTTATTCCAAAAATAGTTTAAGATTTAGATTGCCATGCCTACCTTACGTTTTCTGCTTTACTAGAAGTGTAACAGGTACATGGCATGCTTGCTAAATAAATAACTCAATTTTATGGGTATACACCTCATTATTTTATTCCCTACTAAAAAAACTAGAAAACCTAGTCATTTCCTCCTCCTCCCAATCTTCCCTGCAGTTTATCAGGGCTCTACTGTACATGATAAAGTGCTGAAAATAAAGAAAAGATCCTAAATTGCAACATGGTCTCCATCATTTTCCAGCAGGGAGAGAAGGTGGGTCGCTTAAAGATACAGGGGCACCATTTCCTGTGCCTAGGCATCTTATCACCTTGAATGGAAAGGATTTGAGTAGAACATAGTGCAAATAGTAGCTCTTGTTTTTGTTGTGATAAGAATATTTAAAAATCAGAATATTTTAAATATGTTCCACTGAAAATTGGTTAACATTCACATAAATGTATTTATGTCCTAACCACATGGCAATGGTATGGATTTTGAACAATTTTTTTTTTTGGTACAGGCTTTAGGAAAACCACCACCATGAACCACAATGACCTTCATTTATATAGTCTTGGCAGAATAGTTAACATACAGTGCCATTATCAATGGATTACCAAGAAACATTTGAATCTGTACTTGTGTATTCAGAACCAGACTTTTTCAATTTTCTCATTTTTCCCCCTGAGTTGTCTAGTGACAAAAAGATGCATAAAAATGGGGCAAGCAAGCTCGTGTCACCTCTGATGGTTATTTATTAAAAGTCAATAATAGTCAACATGTTGCCACCTCTTACAATTCCCTTTCTTTATATAAAACTAACTGAAAATGGGAGGAGGGGGCGCACAAATTGTATTTTAAAAATGCTAACTTTCTCTTTGTTGCATTTTTCTCTGCAGTGATTGTTACATTGATTCATACATTATATAGCTGCAATAAATGGAGCATTTAAAACTAGGGTAACCAGATACAGCTGTAAAAATCTGGATAACCACCAGATGAAAGACAAGAGTTAGGCTAAGGTATCTCTTTGCTGCCATCTTGCAGTCACCTGGATTTTTAAAGCATAGATCGGATAGCCCTCGTAGAACTCCAAGGCTTGGTTTATGCATTTGGCTCCTTTAGGATCCCAAATGTGACTGCTTCTAGGTACACTGCCCAGTGAGAATTGCAAGTAGATGACTGAGGCATTAGATTACACAGGGTCACCTTTCACATGCACTTTACTGTCTAATAAAGGACAACTGTGGTCATGCAAATGGAATGGCAAAATGTACAGCCTTCATGTGAAGGCACTGATGGAACAGTCAAGGCTTCCATTCTCCTCAGAAAAGCCCTACGTGTGGATGAGGGTATGGAAATTAACAAATGTGAGAACAAGTCCCAAATATACAGCATGTGCATTCTCAGCTGGTGCATAAAGGACTCAAGCCTACAGAGAGACCTAACTGAAAGGTGATTCTTAGTATAACTGGAGACAGTGGAATAATATTTTCAGATTAAAAATGTTTTTCTCCTAATTCAGCAAAGCGTTTAACAGTAGACTTAACTTTTACTAGAACGGTCCTAATAGAATACCCTACATGTTTGAAATGTTTCACTGGATTTAAACCACAGCCTCCTTTATACCAGAGCAGACCCTCAGAGTGTTACCGACTAAGACTATAGTCCAGTTGTTTTAATCTTTGAACTCCAAAACAGCATGTGTATGTTTCATTTCGTTAAAAGTCAGTCTGCTGCAAGTTTTCTGTAACAATAAAAAGAAGTAGGTGCACTATTATCTATGCCTCTAAAAAATCTACACACTAGAAATGCCTCAAAGAGACCTGAAGAGAATTTGGGCAAATTTATGGTTTGTTTGTTTTAAATAACAGCTAATCACAAAATAAAAATAAATACTTTTTAAAAATTAAAACGGCTAGAATCATAGTGATTTGCCTGCACAGCAAAGGGAAGTAAGTCTTTAAAAATACAATCCTATCCACGCGTAATCAGAATTCGTCCCTCTATATCTGAGCATATCTACTCAAAAAGCAATTCTCACCAAGGCTGCAAATTTATGCACATTCAGTAGTGAATCTTGAAGAAAACAGTAGGACTTATAAGTTAGAAATAAACATACTTAGGATTAGGCAATAATTTTCAACTACAGTATAAGATAATACCCTCATAAGGCAGCTATGCTAACTGGCCCTAAAATAGAAGTGGTAACCTCTGAGATTTTGTGGAGTTTAACCAAACTTTTTAAAAAAAGCAAACAAAAGCTATTCATGAATTCTCTAGTCAGCAATGACAAAAGTTACTTCTTTCTATATGTTGCTGGATTCCAATTCAAGTCGTGCTGAACAGGAGAACTGACTACCTGTTCCTCAGCCCTGTTCCAAATATAAATGTAATCCCTAATACCTAAAATTAAAACACAGCTATATTTATTTGATGAAAAGAAACAAAAAACTCAGACTCTGTTTTATCAGATTAGTTATTCTGTGGCACTATTCCTGTGTTGTTAATTAAGAGAAGAACATTTCTGGTGTGAGATTCTCCTAGGCAACAAAGAACATGGCAAACTTAGCTTTAGTTACATGAGCCATATTGGATTTTTCTTTAACATAACAACAGTTGGCCTCTTCACTGTGATTTGGAATTAAGAGATTATGTGTTGCCTGCTTCCCATTAATATGAAAATTTTAATCACAACTTCATGCTCAATAGGAGTGTGTGCATGGATTAATCAATGGAACTTCACATTCCAGGTGTTTTCGAACACTAGATAATGTTAATCTTTATGAAAGGATTACTAACTTCTGTTCACCTTTATAATTTTGCATTCCCTTTAACGTGTAGTTTTTAGAAGGTGGACTTGAGCTGACTTCTTTTTCCCCAATTTCTAAATACATATTTTAAAATTCAAGCTATGCTGTCAAAGCCCTTCACAGAATCCTCAGTTTTTCCAAAATCAGGTTCTATAAAATCATCCGGTACATCCCGCCGAGGCTCTGAGACATTCTCTTGTACTGACTGTTTCTTACTTTGACATCTTAAATTCTTGCAAGGCCTCACCAAAGAAAGGAATACAGCAGCCAAGAGCATTCCAGCAGCACAGGAATAGAATGCAGAGCTATAATTTTTTGTGGTATCCACTAGTACACCTGTAAAAGCAGGAAGAAAAGAGCATATTATGAAAAACTTCATTTATACCAGTTTGCAACATCCTTTTGAAACTTTTTTTTTCAGATTTTTCTTTCCTGAGCATGACTACAGAACACTGAATCTAATCTTTTCCAAGTTTAAAAACAATCTGGGGATGGGGGAATACCAGTTTGCAACATCCTTTTGAAACTTTTTTTTTCAGATTTTTCTTTCCTGAGCATGACTACAGAACACTGAATCTAATCTTTTCCAAGTTTAAAAACAATCTGGGGATGGGGGAATACCAGTTTGCAACATCCTTTTGAAACTTTTTTTTTCAGATTTTTCTTTCCTGAGCATGACTACAGAACACTGAATCTAATCTTTTCCAAGTTTAAAAACAATCTGGGGATGGGGGACTTTATAAGAGAATTATTTAAAGGGAATCACATTCATAAACAACTGAGATAAAAACAGCAGTAAAGCAGTCTTTCTCGGATGGATTAAAGACAGAATTGTAGCAAATTGAGGAAGAATGTACTAGCATATAGAAAGTGTTTCCTTCCCCAGACTCCATTTCTTTGTAAATACAACTCATGCCAAGTCATTCAATGTATAGGATGCCCCATGTACGCATGTTACAACAGAATGACAATTTTGTGGGTGCAACTTCTGGAAAGAAAACAGCAAATACATTTCTATCTACTCCTTGATTTGCAGCCACACTGCCCAGTCTTAAAAGCTGGACTCACAACATTACTGAGAATTATATCTTATTGACTTCACTGAACTGTGCTCCCATGTGTGCTTGAGGTTTTGGCCCATCCTGAATAGCTCAAGATTGTAAGCAATTTTAGGAACTATGCTGAAATTGCTCTTTGAACTGCAGTTCAACAAACCCGCCACTGCCATTATTTCCAAACGATCTTGAAGATAATATAGCGGTGATGGTCTGAATTGTCTTGAGCCTGGTCAAGTGATCATTTGCTCAGTTGAAGTTTAATAACTTCTTGTCCTTCACTCAGATCTGCAGTCTGCTTCTGTCTTATTTTTCACATCCTTTAAGTTGTGGCTGGGGAATTTGTGGTCTCCCAGATGTTTAGGAACTGTACCTCCCACCATCGCTAAATAATGACTGTGATGGTTCCTGGGATTAGTAGTCCAATAACATCTAGAAGGCTACAGGTCTCCCCTTCCTCTCCTCCCTTCCACATGTAAACCTTGTTCCAATTCCTTTTAGCCTGCATAATACTGAACTCAGAAAAAGAATTTACATGGCCATGGTCAGACAGGTAGAGATTTCTATGGGTTGTGAAGAGCTGGGTTCAAGTATTAATCTAGCCCTGGGGAAAGTCTATCACTGTTTGCCATCTGTAAAACAGGAACAACTACCTGCTCCATACAGTTTGAGGCATATAACAGAATACAAATCTTGAAGCACTCTGTAAATTAACACCACTCCATTGCTAATAGTGCCATTAGTAAGGATGCTACTGTTCAGCTCCCTCCCAAGCAGATGGGTTATGTCTGGAAGGGGAGGAAGAGCTTGCTGGGCAATGCTGAAATGCTTGTTAGAGAAAAGTAGCAAGGTTGTTTACAGATAAATTTATCTAATTTCGTTGCAATTAAAGTTGATGGATTTCAGATTAGCTTCTTTAGGGAAACTGATGGAAATGCAATGCTTATAAAAATATGTGAGCTGTTTATGTAAAGTTTTATCTTTTATTATTCACCTTGAGTGATTATCATCTAGGAATGTTTCAACTTCCTTCTGCTTCCCTATATATCAATCTATCAATGCTGAACTGAATGCTCCCTACTCACCCAAAAGCATCTTTTCCATTTTTTACTTGTTCCTCAGCTAGAGTTTAGTATGCATTACCACCACAATAGAAAGTTGCCCAGTACCGAGTCAGGTAATTGGTCCATCTGGCCCAATCTTGTCAATGCTGGCTGGCAGCATTTCTTCATATTTTAGGGAGGGCTTTTTTCCAGCCCTACTTGATAATGACGTATTAAACCTGGAGGCATGTGAAACAGGTACGCTACTATGGAGCCCCAGCATGGATAGTAAGTAGAGAGCATTTAAGATGATTTCTGAAATGCTGCTTAACTTTACCTGCAAGGGGTGGTCCAGCCAGCCCTGATAAGCTTTGAATAAATACATAGACCCCTGCAGCAGACGCCATCCGCTCAATGCCGACAACATCATCTTCAGCCAGCATTGGAATGTGAGTGCCAGCTACTGTCCCAAGCATGAATCCGAAGAAAATGCTACACATCATTAGCCCCCAAAAATCATAGGCAAGAGGGAAGGCAAAAAGGGCAACGTCCAGCAGAATGACACAGATGAGTTCGATATAAATTTTTCTGATGGGCTTTTTGTTGAGGACCCAGCCAGCACTGATTCTACCAAAGACCTCAGCAATTGCCATTGCTGACAGAATGTAAGCAGAGTGATCCTTGTTGATGCCAATGCTCATGCTGAGAGGAATTATGTACAGCGAAGGAGCAAAGAATCCCAAGGTAGCAAATAGACCAAAAAGCGCATAACAAATAAAGCTGTAGTCTTTCAACACAGAGAAGTCTAGGAGGAGTTCGGGTTTGGGTTCCTTGGTGGGAACGCTACCACTTGCTATGAGCATCTCTGTGTTTTCCTTTGGTTCTTCACTTTTGAGTTCCAAGTTGGCATCTCTAGGTATGTTATGGGGTGAGGTAGTTATTTCTACTCCTGAGTCAATGGAGTCTATTGAGGTGCGTGTCTGCTCATTTTCAAGCATGTACTTTGTCTCTCTTTGCTCTTCCACCGATGATACTTTCACTACTTCCTGGGCTATGACTGTGATGGGTCGCAGCAGCAATCCACAGGCAACAATTCCAAGCTGCAGTAGACCAACAAACAAGAGGCTGGGTCTCCAACCAAAGTATTCCTTTGAAGCGGTGATAGCTATAGCATAAGAAAAAGCAAAACGTATATGAACCTGAACAATACTCATGTTTATAAGAAGAGGTTCAGATTTTGCCATCAGATAGTTCATGATGTTATACACGCATAGAATTCTCGGCTAATTCTTTTGGGTGACGCTGATAGCTTAAGCAGGAGAAATGGAAAGGCGAACCAAGGAAATACGAGGTTTCTTACATTAAGTGTTTCTTTGCCCAGATAAACTTTGTGCCTCTGAACTTTTAACATATACCAGGCAGAAATACTGAGGAGTCTATTAGCACAGGTTCAGAATATGTGCTTCTGTCAGCTTGGGAAAACATAGGATCCAGTGGAGATCTCCTACTTTTCCAAATTTGCAAGCATAACACTGTGGAACTAAAAACAGTGTCTTCCTCCACCAGGACGGAATTGAGGTAAATGCAATAGATACAGGGGCTAGAACAGAAGTGGGAGATACTAGGTTTAAAAGGCAAAATGAAGGTTGCAATTTGGAGGAGTACTGGGAGAAAGTACATTTCATCTTAGCACGTTCAAGTTGGCTTGATGCAATTCTAGTAGGCTTGAATGCAATCCACCCCAGGGTTTGGATTTCAGATATGATGCCCCCCGGTTAATCTGCCAGATAAAGTCACAGATAACCCTTCTATTATTACCATTGCAGATGGGATTGCTGCTCAGCTTTATTTTTAGCTTGGAAAATTTTGTACAGGTTGCCCAACAGGTTGTATATAAGGTCATTCTACTCTATTTATTGTAAAAATAGGGCCAAAGTGAGAACATGCTCTGTAGTGGACTGAGCTCATGTCTAGAATAACCAAGGAGTTAAATCATGTCCCTAATTGCAAATGTAATTACAGAACCCCCTTTACAGTGTCTCTTCTTTACATTTCCAAGATGTGGGAAGATCTGGATATCCCTTCTCTCACCCTGTTCCTCTATTTTTCTAAATCTCCCCCCGCCTACCAATTAGCAGGTGTATGATTTTTCTTAAGACTGGAAAAAAGTTTTGATTACTTGTAGTAGAATGAATGGATTGATCTCTGACTCTAATGAAAACAGCATTCATTCTGAGTTCTTGATATACTTTTACAGAAAAGATTTATGAAGTTGAGAATGAGATTAAATTTATATTCTGCCTTTCCTCCAGAATTTCCATGGAATATATGTAGCGCTCTTCCCTCCCAATTTTCCCCACAATAATCCTGTGAAGTATGGTGGGCTGAGAGAAACTGACTGGCCCAAAGTCACCCAGCTGGCTTCATGCCTAAGGCAGATCTAGAACTCATGGTCTCCTAGGTTCCAGTCTAATGTTTTAAACCACTAAATCAAAATGGCTCTCAACTGTCTGTTTACTTCTTTACAATATACAATTGATGCTTCTGAAGCATGAACTTAATGGATTAAGGACATTTTTGCTCAAAAGAAAAATATATAGCTTTTATTATGTCTGGCAGAACATATGATCTTTAAGGACTTAGATAGAAGTGTTGCATTTGTAAACTGATTAGGGCTGAAATCCTCTCTCCATCATTTGTCCCTTTTTCTGCTATATTACAAAGTAACCCAAAGAGGAGTCACATAGTTTCTACAATTAATGTATCTGTAAATTTGAAATAAAAGTTAACGTTTCCCCTGTCCCCAAATAAGCTGGGTTTATTGAAATGTTTGTTTAATGATTGGGTAGGACTGTATTTTGATACATCCGTATCAAAAGGGCAAAGGAGGAAACAAGACTCAGATAACCCTATTTCAGGGAAAGCAAGAAATGTGTTTGGTACCTGGTGCAAAAGAGAAAACAGCAAAGCATTCTCCTGTAGAAGCCACGGCAGTGACCAATGAACGCTTTTTGTCAAAGTACTGAGACAGAATGGTGACAGTTGGAAGAAAGGCAAAACAGTATCCTAAACCTGTGAATAAATGCCAGATGTTAACGTTAAGCAGATATGATACACTACTGCAGGGTCAGAAGCTTGTATTTTCCCCGTCCTTTTTTTTTTTTTAATCATTCAGTCCGGATGTATTGTCTACCATCAATCATTTCTCCTGAAATTCTGACATGTGTTGCTAATTCTTGTTAACAGAAGTAATTTTTCAAATAATTAGCATGTGTTGTGATACATTTCCTATGATAAGCTGTCAAAATGCACTCTCGTTCTGTCCGTGAGCAAGGAAGTTGAAAATTAAGTTCTACCTATGGTGGTGTTAACAACCAGGGTCATTCAGCAAAACTGAGAACTATGCAAAATTTTCTATTTCTGAGCTATCTTGGCTTCTTCATACAAGGGCTACTTCTACTCTTGAATATAAACATTTCTTTGAAAATTATGGTAGCTCAGCATTTCTCTAAAACTCACCCGAGACGATGCCAGTTGAGATGTACATTTCAACAACTGAACGTGCAAAGGAAGCGGCAACCATTCCAGTGCTGACCAGTAACCCTCCAATCACCACCACCAGACGATGACCAAAACGATTGGCTGCTACTGTAGAAAGAGGAGCTGCAAAAAGAAGGAAGATTTAATTGTTGCTCTATATCTCTTTTAAGACCAGAATACTGGAACCCAGCCTATGTACTTTGGTTCCCCCAAATCTCTCCTCTTGTTATAGTGCCTCATATCAAACAGCTAAGAACTCTGACAACATACAAGTCACTGGTCCAGCGATTCATTAGAAGCACCAGTATTTGCGTCTAATTATTTTAATGTTTCTCTATTAGACCAGTTCCAAGTGATATGTCATACACACATATGTATATATAATGCATAAGAGCCATTCTGGTGTAATGGTTACAGCAACAGGCTAGAAATTGGGAGACTTTGAGTTCTAGTCCCGCTTTAGGCATAAACCCAGCTGGGGGACCTTGGGCCAGTCATTCTCTCCTAGCCCTAGGGAGAAGGCAATGGCAAACCACTTCTGAAAACTGCAGGGATTAGTCCAGCAGTCACCAGTGACTCAAAAGCATCAATATAAGCCCGCCCCCACCCACCCACAGTGTATATTTCAATAAATAAAAGAAACTACCGTATTTTTCCAACAATAAGACGCCCCCATGTACAAGACAACCCCCACTTTTCCAACC